TGTGCCAGCAAAAATAACTTTATCTTAGTCTCTCCCTACCCTGGTGATTTGGTCCTTTTGCCCCTCCCTCTTTTATGTTTTGTCTGTTTTTAATGTATTTTGCTTTACTTTGTTGCCATGCTAAAGCCCTATATAAACACTGTATTTTCTGCAGTATGCACCATGTTGAGATGCAGCGAAATCGTCCTGGAGATAAATCGTGCAGTATTGCCATATGGTCTTTTCCCTTGAAATTAATCTCGGTAAAGGCATGTTTCAAATTACATGGTGTTTAAAAACGATGTTTACAATGTTATATCCAACTGAACGATCGAATAATTTTTAAACGCCGGAGTATCTTCCGAAAAATGTCAACTGGAAACCACCCAAAACTTTAGGGCAGTTATTTAGGCGACCTTGGTATGGTTTACTGCATTGAGGAAACAGTACGTTGAGTTACCAATGGTGGAGAGCAGCGTTTTTAATAAGGCGATTGGATTAGAAAAAAGTACATCATTTTAACTTCAATTCTTCCAAAGGTTGGTTTCGCTCTGCGTCAGACAGATGAGTTCACTCATATGGAGTTAGAGACAATCAAAGTTCGATGGTATTATGTGTTATGTATTATTATTATTATTATTATTACTATTATTATTATTGTGTATTATGATGCGCTGGACAAATTTCAAACCGGTCTACCTCAGTTGATTCAGGGCTATTCTTATTGTGAGAATTTGTGTGCACATGAAAAAGATGTATATTACAAGCCGCTGTCGGAAAGAAATTATCTTTCAAAGGAATAACAGTTTTGGGGGCCAAGAAACCCAGAGAAAGGTTCACGTTACATCTGAGGCAAAGGCTCCTTTTAATTCATGGAACACTGCGCTCTGTGATTGATTATTTGTAGGGCCAAACTCGATAATTTGACGCAACAAGATGTGGTCGATATAACTTTTCGAAATCCTGTTTGCTCTTCACCCATGTTCCTCTCCCGTTGGGGCCTTAGACATCCAAGTACGGCGGAAGTTAATAGTTGGTGACAATGGAGATAAAACTTATTCCGCGGTGGTGTGTGCAGCTATGCCAAAATCCTTTCTTGAAAATGAAAAATAACAAAGAATCACTCCAACAAGATGAAGTGCACTTTTGCGACCATATTTTAGGCAGAAAATTGAGAAACGAGTCCATAAAGTCATCATACCTATTCCGAGATGTGTTGATCTTAGCCTGCGGGATAACGCCCGCCACGAAGCGACGCGTTACAGCCTCTGCAAAACGAACCACAGGCCAATCATGCCGATCAATCAGAAGTCGTGCGGTTCATATAGAAGCTGTATGATGTAAAGAATACAAGCAGGCCATCAGTAAAATCCTGTACAACCAATACAATTCCCTTTTACATCTTGTACAAAGAGCAGCCGAACACATCCCCTGCGGGTCAACAAACCGGTGAATGAATCACAACTGAATGATCAAGGTCGAAGGTCAACCCAACGCCGCACACCAGCGTCATCGATCGCTGGTCACTTGCTAGAAACTGGGTATCAAGTGAACGGGACCACAGCATTTAAAAGTGCATTCATCACGCGAAGCCCTCGATTGCTCCAATTTGCAGGGGCGATTGCTACAAACGATGAGAGCCTGAACCGTGCAAGCAGAAAGTTATTTGTAACTCTAGTCCTACCTTGGTGAAAAGATGGGCACAGATAATACCAACAGCTCATTGCGGTAAATGTTACCCGTTAGTTTTCATTATATTCTTTGACTATAGCATGTGCCTGAAGGGATACAGCGGAATCTTTCCGGAAATAAATTGTGCAACACTGTGCTGCTTTGTTCTTTATTGAAGTTCATATAAGGAAGAGGCTGTTTCAATTTTACATGTAATTTCATCTCATTGATTTTCCTCAGTCAGAGAATCGCTACTTCCTTGACCCATTTCCTGCATCTCGGTCACGGAAGGTTCAAGCTTACGATTGCTAGTGCCATTCTGTGCTTCAGTTGCCAATCTGATTCATGACTCGTAATCCGCATCTACTTGGATTACTACGATTCGGCCTCACGTAATAGATCAACTAAACTTACATGCAAGTCCGTCAAAATTGAGGAATAGGTGACAAGGTTCTAGCTTTGGTGCAGCATACGCAAGAATGGCGCGCCGAGCCAGTCAGCCCTACTTCACACTGCGGGTTACCATGGGGTCCATTCATTGCTTAAGAACCTCGCATTCCTCTAGATTCCTCACAGTTAAATCCTGCAACCTGACGCTGCAACCGAACGAGTAAGCCTGGATCCACAATAGGAAACCGGAAAAGTGGTGCAAAAATCTTGAGAAATATGCAGTAATAAAGACCACCATTCAGCGAAAATTCATTATGCGGAAAGGAAGTGCAAAATCAATCAGAAAACAAAAACGTTGCTGATAATGCGAGTCAAAAGCATCAAAATCAAGATAGCCATACGAAACATTTTCACCGTATCAGAATAGAATCATCACAATCAACAGGAATATCATCATCGTCAACATCGGAAGCGCAGTCAAAATAAAAAAACATCATCTCAATCAAATTCTCTGTGATGATCACTATCATTCTCATTAACATAATCATAATTTCCCAGATATGATCAATATCCGAAAAATAATCATCATCGAAATCATCCGAATCATGATCACCATCGGAATTACCAGCAGCAGCATCAAAGTCATGGACATGAGCTTAGTCAGGAGTACCAGGAGCACAAATATCATCTTCATTATCATCATCATCAGCGTCAAGATCATCATCACTACCATCACTACCATCAACACCACCACAACAACATAATCATCCGATTTATCATTATTATTATTATCATCATCATCATCATCAACATCATCATCCGAATCATCGTCGTCATCATCACCATCATCGTCTTCATTATAATAATAATTAACATCATCATTTTCATAATGATGAACAACACACCAGTTGATCCATAGGCTTTTTCATGATCTTCGACGGGATCACCCGGATTATCTGTAACAAGTTTGTCATAATCAACCATTCAAACTCTCGTCATTGAAATAGTCAAAGTTGTCATCATCCACAAGGTATTCCGCACCATCAACTTCAATGTATTTGGTGGTATATTTGGAAGAGACTCATCTTAAAGTCACAATGACTTGCTTTTGCATGGAAAGTCGCTATTTTGACAACTGATTTACTCGTTTTCTACGCATTTGGAAATTTTCCTTCAGATTTTATTCGTATTTCGATATAATAAACCTCGAAATTCCTCACATACTCCTCATAGAATTACGCCACCAGAAAGACGGAAATTTGATGAGATCTCTTGGGTCTTCGCTTGACTTATGTATTTATCGCGAAATCAGACGCTGAAGTCCTTGATTGCCAAATCAAAGAATATCTCATATCGGAGCTATATAGTTGACATCTTCCTCGTAGTCGATTCCTCCATTAGTCCCATTGTTCTGTTGGACCACTTTAGTAAACACTATAAGATTATAGGATTCCCGCTAGAAATGCAACCTTCCAAAGGGTTGACGTTCCTTGATGTTCTTCTCTCGCGCTGTCAAAACGGATATCTTCGACGTACCATTAATTGTAAACAGACTTGGACAGTACAGTACAGAAATCATCACAGTTTTGTACGTCTGCAGAGGAAGAGGGCATTGATTTGATGCATGGTGAATAGAACAAGGCGAATATATTTACTTGATTCATGGGACGAGGAAGAAGTGAGAGAAATTAGGATGATTTTCATAGAAAATGACTATTCAGGCATGACCATTCAAAGATGTATGAAGGTCACCACAACAGTGCAACCAGAGATGACGGCAAAAAGAAACCAGTTGAATTTTCCATTCTATTCAAATGTGATATATTATCTGAAATGATACGTACGCGTCTCCAGACTGTTGTCAAAACATTGTGCCGCTGATCTACGCACAATTTATGCTTCCACACCGATTCTTCCTTTGTAGCTAAAAGACGAGCTACAGAAGGAAATCACCTCATTTTTGCATTTACCAATCTGTGGAACCACTTACATTGGTCATATCACTCGCAGCTTAGTCGAACGCATTCGAGAACACCGTCCTAGCTGATTTGGTCGCGGATCGACGTGAACCGGGGGGATGGCAACCACGGCTTATTCGGTCGAGACGGAACACCGTGTCAGAATGAGTGAAGCGGTCAAGCCCATCTACACGATGACCGGGGTGAAATCAAAGCAGGTCAAACATCGCCTACCGTCCAAGCGATCGCGATTCAGTCGAATAACCTCCTTCCCATGATGCATTCAAAATATCAGTCCGAGCTCTGAATTTGCCATGGTCATCCATAAGCAGAGTGACATAAAGCTGGTTACGAGATGAGTGTCAAATGGTTTATGCATTTGATTCATGCGATAGCAAGATGATTTAAACTCTCATGCATCCCTTACTGTATTATCCATTTATTCATATGCACATATACAAACATAGACATGATCTACTTTTTTGTGTTTCCCTAATTGATTTTTGACCTACAAAAGAGAACTATATTTGGCTAGTAAATGATGCACCGAAAACGAGCTGGATTGCCAAATGGACTTCTTGATCTTTATATTCAATAGACAAAATGAAGAGGAATCGATTATAATTATTATATAGTGATTATCTAACTGATGAATATTCACTCTTCGGGGGCGCACAAAGTGATTGCCCAAGTGTACTTGACTTGAGAGTGTCGATCAATTTCGCTATACGAACATTGCAGGCTTCATGAGACAGCTGCTAATCCATAGAGCATTATTATTCCATTTTTCGCAACCGCCATACACGGCCTTTGGTGATCGATGGTACATAAAAATTCCGTGGTTAGGCCCTTGGTTCACCAATCGAGAGTGAAAAGGGAAATGGTGAAACTTCTGAGGGAGTATGTTGAGGATTTATCTGGAATATGGATCAATTGTTAACTAGCAAGTGTTTACTATAATCAACTGAATCAGAGAGTGTATCAAGCTGACATTGTTGCCCGCGACCGCACAGTTTGGGAAATTGAATGCAGTATTCACCTTTTTAAATTCTACACGTGAAGCCACGCTTTGGCTATTTTTTAACTGATACGAGTCTCGGCAAGCTTCGCGTGCGATGAAACACTAGCTAACGGCCCATGGCCCAAAAATAAGTCACAGGTAATAACTTACCAGGGCCATGATTGTCATCTCGTATCAGCTTAAATGCATTAGAAATGTTTTGCACGAAGTTTTACCAGGCTGTTACAGGAAAAACCCACCTGTTCTGTATAACCAATGTTCATTCCCTGATAATTTCTTATCACTGCTTTCTCTCGCACTGCGGTATTGCGATAAGCCATTGCTCGGTCACGGGAATAAAAGACCAAAACCAACACCTCACACCAGGTCTGAATAAGAATAAGAAGCACCAAAGGGTTAATTCCGCGACTGTTCCGAACAAATAATATATGACTGGTTTCAACGAAACAAATATCTCTAATGAATGAAGGATAATAGATAGATAATAGATAATTTGATAAACGGTGATGATATACTTCACATACGAATGAAACTGATTTGTTCACATGGAATGCGGTAGAGGCTATAACTCGCCTTGACCCACAATAAAATATCCACTCAAGATATTGGTACTAAGCATTTCCCGTTCCTTTTGTCGGTCCTTTATCTAATTTTTACAAAAAACTAACGTGTGAATGTTACGGAATACAACTTTAATTTTTGTAGTTTGACTGACCGGAAGGATGCGATTCCTGTGGGTAAAAGTATAGATGAGAGAGTTAGTTACTCGAAGGTGGATTACTGAAGCCTAACATCTTATTGACACAAGATCAAAATAAACAGACAACCAACACTTGATACATCCGTACTTTTTTCCTGGATTTGTCCTAGTACGACGCGCATTCTGCCACGAAATATAGAAGTTCGATTTCCGCGTACATGAAAAATATACATTTAATCATGTTCAAATATAATGAGTTTAATCCTATTAAAACGTGCATGGGATGTGAAAATTTATGAGGAATCCAGAATACAAGAGAATAGTTCTTTGTAAAATGGATTCAGTACTTCTAAAACTGACTATGGCTTTTGGCCAAATACCTTCCGTAGATTTTCAACTTGCCGCATCTTGAGCAAGCCGTAAAACGCGGAAGATAAAGCAAAAGTAGCATTTGCAACAATGAAGTTCCATTTAAAATGGGACTAGCTGTGAGTGTTCGCTAGTGAGCAAATACAAGAGCCAGCCCGGATGACCCGACGGATAGTTAGGGAATTCCAGCTGTGCACTTCATTCAAAATCTGAAGGATATACACTTCTGAGAATCTTCAAAAATGATGTTACAGTAGTACAATGTTTCGCTGCACTTTTAACAGTGTAACATTGAAATTTATTGAACAACAGCTTTCTAAACACTTAACGCCGTAGTAATCGCATGAATCTTCCGAGTAACTATTTACTGACAGTCGTCTGGAATATAGAAATTGGAGCCAATTTCAGTTAGTCTCGTCATCTCATCAAATCTGTGCACATATTTGCACATATTTGTCTTATATAACATATATGTATATATATATATACATGAATATATACAAAGATAAACATATATGTACACCTAAATGTGACCATCGTTTTACAGATGCGGCACCGAATTAGTCATGGGGTGAGAGAGCAGATTGAAATAATTCAAAAAAANAAAAAAATCAATCAACATCTAGCGGGGTATAACAGCAGAAAATTAGCATGTTTGTTGCCAAACGGAGTGACTGTCCTGAGTAAGCGATTTCGAATTCCAATGGGGTTTGATAGAAATGCACGAATGATGTTTAGTTCCATAAATAATAAACAACACCTAAGGGTTTGTGGGGTTTTCTTTTGCTTCATGAAATGCATAAATATTATAACAAAGTACAACGTATATTACACATTTTCAAAGGAAGAAAATTCTACTCCTAAATCTTCCAGTTTTTATCTACACTTAGGCTCAGGAGAAGTACTGTTTGAATAGACGTCATTTGGAGGAGATCGATTTATCGTTAATGGAATATTTTCACGCATGGTCGCAATCAGGGGACTTTCTTCTGTGGAGACAAGCATATTCAACCATGTTCGTAGGCTTGTCTGCTGAAGTGAAGGACCTTGTGAAAATGTTATGTTGAAGTGGCGTTTCAGTTTCCTGGGTTATATGTGTCGTATAAGAAACGCCTACCCTCAACGGAGCTGTGCACCCGCATGCTGCGAATAGATGGATAATCTTAGATAGGTAGCAAGTGTTCTACTGAATAACCTTTGGCAGACGATCATCAACAATGCTCGGTGGTATAGTTAGTAATTGCCTCTCTAGCGTTCTCTATGAAATGTAAAATCATAAACACCCGTAGACGGCATGGCGATATGCCCGAACCGGGCGCTCTTTTTAACATCGCGTTGCTCATCTTCTCAATCCCAAATAATCCCAAACGCCTGCTGTTTGCGAGCAATGTTGTGCCGAGGCAGGAAGTGGGTGGAATAAAGCTAAGAGTGGTCAAGCTTAGACCTGGCATGAGGCTATGAAAACCCTAACCAGGAGTCTGGGTCACATAGGTCCCGTTAGGCTCCCTGACTGGGGACCTGGGGATGGTCGTACTCGATGCTTAGATACACTGAGTGATATGGCTTGGTGTTGTAAACAGTGGCACTCGTGTATCTTCTTAATTTCTCTGCATGAATAATCCACTGAATTTCTGAATTTCTCCTAAGATCCTACATTCAAACATTTTGTTTTCCTCCTATTGTTCACCCAAATGGGCAGCCAAAAGACAGCAGCCAAAAGCGTCGCAGCGAAATGCATGCTTAATGGTTGTTTAAAGTGAAACTGAAACTAAGGTAACTTGCGTTTCGGCCAGCATCCTCAAAAGAAAATCCATGGGTTCCTAGAGTGAATGCTTTGTGTTGTAATTGAAAACCGTTTCAACTAGTTTTCATGTGAAGCTTACTTACTCTAATTTAGGACTCAGTCACTTGCATACAACAGTAAAGTATTACCCTTTCGAAGTAGGAGTCCCACTGGGCTATCATGCGCAACACCAGGCTTTCAACTGTCTGCTTACTGCACGACACAGTACTCTATTATTTTGCCGTTCAGAACTAACTGCAATAGTTGGTACAGAATACTCGTTGTCTCTCCACTGAAATTGAACGTTTTTTCGATTTGGCACAATGCCTTGAAATTGTACTTTTGTTCTTTCGCGAAACGACCATTGATTTTCCGTTGTCATTAAATGATTGCTTTCACGAGATAGAATAAATATTGAGCTTGGTTAGGGTTGAGGAAGTGAGCTGAAAGTTATAATGCACTCAAACTGTTAAGAGGTAATATGTTTATACATTCCCAAACATGGCAGATCTCCGGGACACTCCTATTTTTTTTAAAGTTCCTTAACGATCAGCTGCAAAAGCATTGGACCTCGACTGAGAGGACGAGAGATATTCACTGCATGAAATCGTTCTAACTGTTTTTGTGTGCTTCAATTCACGTAGGTGATTCACAAATAAGTAACAATGGCAAAAACCTATAGTACGAAGAATAGCTAAACTAGTTATGCACTGCATGCCTTAACACGACTTATCTGTTCAGTTTCAAATATCGTATCATCCAAAGGCTGACATCTTATCAGGCATTTTTTACCGAGTAAACGAATTATTTAGGATTTCTGTAGTATATTCAGTTTTCGTATAGTCTTATAATACGTCTATCTCATCGTGGCCATCAGCGATTCGGTATTTAAAATGCTAAAACCTACGCTACTTATTCTCATAACCACTAAGTACGTTCTAGGGGCCATGATGTCAAGCTTTTCGGCTATTCATCACATTCAAATTTATACTACAGACATTATGGTGATATTGGCCAACTAGCCAAATTGTAATAATAGAAAAAACAAAACTCCATGAGCTTGACATTTGCATTACATTTTGTTAGAAAATCATCATGGTAATGTTGGTTTCCATTTTCCTAAAGTTTAAATTTAACTTAGCATTTTCAAAACCTCCGATAATAATGAGGCGAAATCGTGTTGACATGAAGTCTGTTTAGTCAAGCGCTTCTACGTGAAAATTTTCAAACGATTAAATATTCCATTCAGCCAGTTCCCTTTAACAATTTCAGGAGAGCAAGGAAAAGCATCATGATCACAGGATTTGTTGAATTCAAATATTTCATGGTGATCTCATCAGCTGTGTACATTCATTCAGATCACCCTGCAGTAATTCCGCTCCTTGCCCCAATATCCAATCCGACTCATATTAGTGACCTTTGGTCTCCGCACTCAGTGATTTCTCTTCCCCGTCTATGATCGCCTGTCCGCGAACCTGTCACTTTTTAAACCAAACGTGATCTGAATGTATACAGCTGATGAGATTACCACGAAATAGTTGAATTCAACACATCCTGTGATCATGATGCGTCTTCTTGCTCTCACGAAATTAAAAATTCGACAACATAGGTAACTTCTTACGCGCAGACAAATTCAGGGTCAGACCGGAACTGCCAGGAATGTCAATTTCTAACCTCTTGTCTTGTGTTATTTTATGTTATTGCATTGCTGGGATCATCAGCAGGGGCGATATTTCCTAAGTGCGCGTTCATTTAATTTGAGGAGGAAGAAGTATTAATGGATCGTCGCTGATTGCCCAGTTCCTGAAAACGGAGCATAACCGATGGAAATCAACTCGAGAATAACATAGCAGCCGGATTACTAAGGTTCACGCTCAGNGAGATCACCAAATGGGATTTCATCCTTGATTGACCGATGGCGGTGTGAACATTTGATGCGGATTAATCTGATTTATCGAATGGATTACATAAAATATTTGTTTTTGCCTTTACGTTTCTTTACAAATTATAGTGTAAAATTTTGATGAAGATTTTCGAAAGTCACCGAAAAAAATATATAATTTAATGTGAGTGGCCTTGTTTGATAAACTTCAGGTTATACGATTCAGCTGTTCCGTTACAAAAACTCCACATCGTCCACTTATTTTGAACAATATGAACACTTAGCCCAGAAAAGTTAAAGAAAATAAGCAGTTCTGTTATACTGAATTTACTTTGGTAATTCTGAATATGAAACTACGCAAAGTATTACATTTGAAAACAGTTGTTTTAATTTATTCACTTAAAACCCGTATAGCCGAAACCGTCTTACAAAAGCTGAAAGTTATTTAACTAGAACTCGACTGGCAACATTTTCGCAAGAAACTAATAAATAAAAACAGTTGTGTGGTCCTGTTAGGAGACGTATTAATATACGGACGGGCAAAAGGCAAAGGAATAAATCTGATTTACTTTGTACGGAAGACCAAGATTAACTTCGAAATATAAATTTTTTTCAAGGTGATTACAAAATCAG